GAACAGAGATTCTTTTACATAGAAAAACCTATATTGTGAAAATTTTTAAAATATCAAGTTCTCCTTTGTTAAACCTGTAGTTTATCATATTATTCAACAAGATTGACGTACGTTTACTATTTCATTTCAAAAGGAAAGTTTCATCAAGTAACTTGTCTCATATGATTATGGAAAACCATTTCATATACTTGTGGCAATATGAGATAAGCGATGGGGTCTACTTTCTTATATTTAAATGAATCATGAATTGCCGATATGGGAATGTAATTCGATCTGTTGACAACATGGTCATCTGATATATGGGTGTGATACCTCTGTGAATATTTCCAGTAACCTTAGTTTGTGACGCCGGTATATTGTTAAAAAATGTCCAATATAGCGGTTTTTGCGGTAGCACAATTAGAGCTGATCCAGGTTGTTTACAGTATTGATTATCATAATTTGAATTCAAAATATTACAATAAAACATTGACGCAAGTTGTATATTCAATTTTCTTATTACTTATAATGCTATTCCATGCAGGATATTTGTAATTGTTCTTAAATTATGTTCCTGTGTTGTATGTAAAAATATGTGCTAATTTGAAATTTAGCGCCTACTCTAAAAGTGCCTACCCGCTATTGAACCCGAAAAACAATCTGCTTTACATAAAGAATGTTTTCAATTTTAGAAAGTATGTAAAATATGCACTCCATTAAAAACATGCATTTACCCAAAGTTTGCTTACTGTTCAAGTATTACATACACGATGGTACATGAAAATTATATCATTTGTGGTAAAAACAATCAGTTTGGAATTATTTTTAATTTGTATTTAAATTTTATTCAGATAAGGATACGCTTTGTTCCCGTTTCAATAGTAACCCAATATTTTCCGTGGCTTGCTCGCAAAAGTCCCAGAAATAAACGTTGCCACAATAAGAACATTCTTGTTGTGCGACGTGGGTTTGAGTCGTGCAATCTTGTATTTAAATAAGGTTCCTTAAGCGCGCTATCTAAGAATTGAGATTTACGTTTAATTATTAATATTTGTGTTTATTTCTCGAAGGATGTTTGTTATATAAATGTCGCTTGGAGGGACGGAAATCAATCTCGTACTTGACGATTCTTGAATATACTTCAAAACATGAACAGCGGTTTTATGTCTGGTGGAGGCGGATGCCTTCCAACCTTACCTCAGCAGGTACGAGTGTTGTATTCACTTCATTATTCCAATTAAAGTTCCAAGGGTGGCAAGATGATGGAAACGCTGCGACAAATTACAGTGTCTATTTTTAAAGCCAAATAAAAATTTTATCAATTAAATTATATTGGTGAAATACGATATGGCATCAGCATATATTCGATAAATAAATAAGTACCAAAATTTGAACTTTTTTGAGACAAATCAGTCAAAAAAAAAGATGAGGTCGTTGCTGGTGCAGTGAGTATAGCTTATTGTATTTTCCTCATAATTATTTGTTTTAAAATATGTTTAACTTGAAATAAAAGTAAAAGACATCCGACGTGTTACACTGATTCACAAATTGATCTGCAGTAATTAGGAAATTACTAAAGACTACGTACGTAAATATATATAATGTGAAATTAGTGACGATCTATTATGTTTGGTTTGACGTTCTAGATAGAGTCTAGACAGTGTTATCGGTTGTCGAATTTGAAGCATATCAATCAATTTTAGATCAAACAACATGCTCGATATTCCATCAACACAAGAGCTCGTAGCGCGTGTATCATAAGTTATATTAAATTTTAATACAATCATAAAATAACAAAATCATAATATAAATTGGTAAATGAAAAAATTAATAGATAAGATACATTTGCTATATTTTATTTTAAACAACATATTAATATTTCATTCAGACATCACCTCCTGGTGGACCTATAACCGGATTCGTCGGCTTTGAAGAGGTATTGTCTTTAAATACAGTAAACAATATAAAATTGATCAGAAGGACAACGTAAGCCAGGATTCGGATTTCAAGTTCGAAGGGAATTTTAGAGATTTTTCACATTGACAGCTGTATCAAACAATAAAAATATGTTGATTGCAAAACCTTCTTGTCGTTTTTGGTAGAATGTTGTTCCTCTATCAATTTCGTGTGTTTTAAAATAAATTGAAGCATGTTGAATTATTTTCGAAAAAATACTCGACCCAACATACTCGTTGAAAGGTAGTATTTTCATTGATATTCTGAAGTGTTTTATGCTAAAGGTTATCTTAGCACGCCATAGTGGCTGATTTACAACTTGTAAAGGTATTTCCGGCTGTACCAGTGCTGATAAAAATCTTTCAGACTTAGTTCTGGCACCTGAGGCGAGCTAACTATGAGCAACGTCTGATGCAACACGCTACTTCCATTTCTGAATTGATAAGTTGAGTAAATATATTTAATAGATAATCAATCGTACTAATTATTTTAATTCAATAACAATATTACCCGGAATTGGTATTCCAATTAGCTAAAATAGAAAACTGTAGTTATATATAAATAGGCTCGAATACTTTCAAAAGCTGGGAAAAGTTGTCAAGGAAATAGCGAAAATTTTTCTGATAAAATATGAATATTCAGAATATTTACTAATACTTTAAATTAGGTTTAAACATACGACATAGGAGAACTACAAAGGCAAAAGCTAGTTGGGACAGTTTTTCTTGTGAGTTTTCGCCGACTCTGCAACTGTTGGTTAATTTAGTATTTTCGGACAATGGCTGAAGGGAGAACCATGTACATGCCCAAGAATTTCAAAAATTGAGGTTTTACAGACATGTAAAATTTTTCAACGGTTTTGCGTATTTTTGCTGACGGTCGAAATGACCATCAATTTTCTTTTTGAATTTCCATCAAAATCATACGTAGTGTGTGAAAGTACTTAGATAAATAATACGAAAGTGTTCACGAAGTGGACACAAACCCTTCAAGGGAGATCAAACAAACTACTGTTAGTTCAATTCCTTTGTGGGCAACATAATCTGACTTTCTACAGTCCATTTGTTATTCGCGTTATTTTTTTTATTTAATTTGGCGATTACCAATTCAGTTAGTGATCTATTTGAGGCAATCTGAAAATCTAAATCTAATATACCCGCAAAAACGACAAACATTATCTAACTCCCCGTATAGAAGAGAAGATGAAAGAAATAGAAATAATAAATTTCCACCGCGCAAAATTATTTTTTATAATTAGATTCTATTCTGTGTCAAAACTCAGGTTGCCGGGTTTACCCGAATCATGAGTCAAGCCATTTTTCGTTTCACATCCAGCAATCACACTTGTGGCCTATTTATTACGTATCCTGACATATCTTTTGTATAAGTTTTGCATCAAATATGGATAAAATTCTGAAGGAAAAAATGAGAATTTTTGACGCAATATCTATCCACGTATAGTATTGTCTGTTTTTAAAGCTTCGCTATCTTATACCATTTTTGTCCGCTCAGCAATGTTGTAAACTTGCTGTCGGCACATCCGGACGTAGACGTCATCTAAACTTTTTGCAGCATGAAATAAAATTTTATGAAACTTTCCGCGTCAAGTCAAACCTTCCTCTGTTACGCATTTCCATGTGTTTTCTTGTTCAAAACGAAAATATGAAAAACCCTATACAGAATATTGAAATTTTACTTTGGGTGGAATATTTTATCTGATGCATCAAAAATTTAGCATGCGTAACTAGAATAAAAGATTCTGTTAGAAATATTGCGCCTATCAACTTGCGTTTTCTGTTGTTTAATGTTATAGTCCCAACTTTGATGAAAACTTGAGCATTAACCAATGTGATCAACTATTTGGACAACACATCTGTATTCCTTACTTGATCAGTCGGAAGTGATCTAGTTTAGTATTTACCCGATTGTGTTCAGCATTCTCATAGACCATCTTGGGATGCGGAATGTATTTAGTAATAAATGTAAAACGTAGCTGGACGAGTTGAAGCTAAATTCATTCATTGAAAAATCTAGAATTTTGTTCACACAATTTTGTGCTTGAAATAAGTAAGAACAATGGAGTTCATTAAAGTAATTGGAGTTGTCTGTCTAATCGGAGGTGAGTTGATGTATCCTTTTACTGACTTTTGTTTTATGGCTTGTGAAGACTACATGATTTGGTTTTGAATTATACGTTTTTCAATATTCAAGTTAATTCCGGTTAATTTGTAACTCGAGTCACTATAGTGCACGAATCGATTTATTTGAAAGTGATTCAACTCATTTCCAAATGACGGGTAGAACTCGATGTGACTAAATCCTGGAATCTACTGAAAATAAATTTTACTCAATTTACCCACGTATCTGTAGGTGTTTGGTTTCACCCATTAAGGTTATAAGTGTGGGGTTGTAGAGTAGAAGAATTTCTACTAATCAAGTTCGGCCAGAGTTACGAAATATTAAATTTGAGACTCGTACTCATCGACTTTGTCATCTACCATGTAAATTGAACTGTTTCGTGTATAACATATCTACTGATATCCTTGTTAGAAGAAAAACATCAATAAATATTTTTGCATTATGGTGGTTGCTTGGAACTCTTCTGTCAATACTCTGTTTAAATATAAGTTTGGAGACTCGTTTTGTGTTGAAACAAGAGAGCGATGCTCGAATATGTGGACAACATCTAGTTTACCGTACCTAACGTGTGCTATCGGTATCGAATAACCACTTCCGCGTCAAATGATTTTGCAAAATTAAAACGGAAGACAGCCGTCACGCTTGGCGGGTTAAAAACCCCGTCCCCATGAATAAAAAATAATACAGCGAAATTTTTGATGTACTATTAGATTTCATAGGAAATTTAGGAATAAATGAAAAGTAATAGCCCTCAAGCAACAACAACAATCTATAATCTGAAAATTTCAAAGCAATTGGTCCAGTAATTAAGGAGGCTAACAAGAAGAAGAATGACAATATAATAACAAAACGATCCATAGGTTTACTTTGTGTCCAATAAAAAAAATAATAGGTCGATATACGTTTATTTAGTTGCCAGGTGTGGAGACCCATGGAATAAAATTGGGTCAAGGATTTTGGACTTGGGTTACGACGTCGGTAAGGCATTATTTGGGATCAAGCTAGGTAAGATTTTTTTGGTATTTTCTAGTTGAATTTCAATTTTATTCAAATAAGATGAAAGAAGAAAAAACAGGTAACCCGAACTACGCTTACGAAGTCAGATCCTTCATGAAAATACTTGGCCGACTCGATTTGTTCGATATGCGTAGATTTGGATTGAAGAGTTTCGCAATTTGACCGATTTGTGTCGATTAAAATTATTGGATTTATTCAAGAGTCGTGGCACACAAAAGAAATCTGGAAAATACAAGGGTAGCAGCATTGGGGATAAAAGTAAATCTCGATGACATAGCACGATGTGATAGTTTGAAACTATAGCTGGTGTGACTCGTATCTCCAACGAAAGCACTGAATAAGATTAAATATTTACTACTTTTGTCTTCGCAGAAAACAACAAGCCGACTTCTCGTCCCGAAAAGAGGCGTGAAATTTCAACTACCATACAACCGAATTCAGAACCAGTCTCCATTCAATTGATCCTGATAATTGTCGGTTCCGTTGGAGCATTTGTGGTTATAGCGGTTGTGATAGGAGTGTGTATTTATAGTAAAATGGGGTAGGCTACGTCATATATATTACAAAATTCAATGTATCCCAGGTTTGGTTGTGAGTATGAGGCTCTAACCCGATAATTTAATCTACAACGCCAACATAAATTAGCCCAACGAGTTTAGCCTAAGCTGACAGCACCCAACGCACTTTTCTTTTTTAAATCACCGTTCAATTTTTTCTCAGAAAACCAAGACAGCATGAATTTAGAGAAAGTTTCTCTATGCGTTTTTACAACAAGAGTATTACACCGCGAACACTACATGTTCCTTCTTCAATGCATTTTGATACGGCCGACCTTTCACACATCCCACTACCCAAGGATTCATACCAGTATCTATCGTCCATACAACACCCACACAGTAGACATCATATGGTTAACATACCAGACGAGTTTACGACTACGAGTGTTGCCGCCGCAGAACCGAGTTACATATACCCAGAAACACTGCCTTCTCCAAGAATGAACTTAGATTCTGAACAATATCTGCCACCGATAATACGTTCAGGTCTGGCATCATCCCATAAAACAGTGAATATGAATGGCGGGCACGGTATGAGCTCACCTATGTTGCCTCCCATGTATGATGACATCGGAGAACAAGATCCTAAACCAACAGTGAGGCAAAAAGATAACGAACTCGTAGGTTCTGATGAGTATTGGGACCTAACTTCCAACCAAATGGCGATAACGCATAGTGGAAACAATTCCGAACCCCCTATCCCGCCTGAGTATGATGACATAGGCGGAGTAACCTACGACTCTACATCAAAGCTAAAAGCGAATGTGCTTGTCGCCTCTATCTCGCCTGAGTAACCTACGACTCTACATCAAAGCTAAAAGCGAATGTGCTTGTCGCCTCTATCTCGCCTGAGTATGATGACATAGGCGGAGTAACCTACGACTCTACATCAAAGCTAAAAGCGAATGTGCTTGTCGCCTCTATCTCGCCTGAGTATGATGACACAGGCGGAGTAACCTACGACTCAACATCAAAGCTAAAAGCGAATGTGCTTGTCGCCTCTATCTCGCCTGAGTATGATGACACAGGCGGAGTAACCTACGACTCTACATCAAAGCTAAAAGCGAATGTGCTTGTCGCCTCTATCTCGCCTGAGTATGATGACACAGGCGGAGTAACCTACGACTCTACATCAAAGCTAAAAGCGAATGTTCTTATCGGCTACAACTCCAATGCGAAAACGCATAGTGGAAACAACTCCGAACCCCCTATCCCGTCTGAGTATGATGACATAGGCGAAGGAAGTAACTTACGCCTCTACATCAAAGCCAATAGCAAATAACTTGTCGGATCCAACTCCAATGATGGCGATGACTGACGAATCGCTGGGGTTTGTAGTCAAATAGCAAATATGAGAAACGAAGAGTAATGTGTGTTTTTCATCATGTGAGATAGATATTTATATATTTCATGGAGAGAGAACTTTGTCTCGCATGCAGTACCTAACTCTCAGTTCAATAATTATGAACGGTAATAAAGCGCGTCAAGTATTTCGAAAGACAAACAGTTCGATAAAGAAATTTGCAACAATTTGCGATGTACAAATCTCATTAACATTGGTTGAAGCATTATGTTATTTTGTATGATATGTGTGTTAATGCGTGTGAAGTGTATAGAAATATATAATATAATCGTATGGTGAGATTCGGAGGATTTTCTTTGTGGAACAAACTGTCCTATAGGCATTACGAAATGTCTAACATTAGCTAACTTGTCGGACTTTCGAGATTTGACAAATCCCAACGAATGTTGAGTAGAATATTTGGTATTTATTATTTGTCAGGTACAATCTCAAATCATTATCATTCTTTGATTTGATGACCCCGTTTCTACCAAATAAGATGTTAAAAACAAAAGAATTAACAGTTATACCTCGTCAAAAATGCCAGATAACTTGCACTATATTTTCAGTAAATTACATTTCCATATTCCAAATCGGAAATGGAAATTCCGATCAAAACAGTCCTCGCTCGCGATTAGGACTTTCGTTAAAATTGCCGATTTTTTCAGCGATGATGATTTGTTTGATGCGCAGAATAGTCAGTCCATGGCCGATACGAGTATTAACAAGAATTTGTCATACTAATTTAATTATTTTCAACGTAACTCGCCGTTGCGCCTACTTACAATAAAATAAAAATATTATTGCTCTGAAATACTGCAATCTGCGTTTATAAAAATATATGGTATACTGCCCGATTATAATTAGAATTGATTCGCATTTTTCCGATCTTGGAAATTTGTTAAATTTGATCCGCCTCGGTTATTTTCAAAAATACGCCGTTAGCAAAATCCCAAGGTCGACAATAAAATTTAACATTTTACATTATTGCATTATCATCACAATAAGGAAAGAGGTCGTTTTGGGATCCGGCGGTAATTTAATAATGGATAATGGGATGAATCAACTTCAGGTGACTATGGTATAGTTTACGATCAAAAATTCCGAAATTTTGCGATTTAACAACGTCTAAAATACAGTTTATATCTGTCGCGGCATTCGAGAATCAAAATTTATGGTTTTCCAGTTATATTATGACACCGCTTTTAATTCTTAATATTCACTTCCTCAATTTTCAGTGGAAATTGGATTTGCGTATTCAATCCTGAGGTTGTATCATACTTCACGCACAGTTCCGGGCGATAAAAAAAACTCTTTATCGACGTCCTCTGGCACATGTGCAGAGGAATACTTGTGAGATAGGGAGAATTTACGGAAATATGGGTCACCGATATAATCCCGATGTTCACGGCCTGAATATCCACGTCATACCGAAGAAAACATTCGGCGATTTTAACCATATTTGATTATTCGAGAATAAGCAATCACCCCACTGTCACCCCTTTGCATTTTTCGCCCCCTATTTTATCTCTTTCGCCCACTTTGAGAATCGCTGGAGTAGCACATGTAAGTAAGACTTGAAACAGGAGTGACGGTGATTTCATTGTCTGATGGTATCTGGTTTGACAATCGATAATTTTACCACTCAGCAAGACACAGAGTTTCCTGAAGCCGAAAACGTCACTCCGTGTGAAAAAGCTGCACGAAGCCAAGCACATATCGTGTCCCAGTCCTATTTCTCCCAAATTTGATCCAATTGTGTGTGGTGTTGGACGCATGAGATAAATGATACAAGTGGAACAAAAGTAGAACACGTGACGCTACCAATTCAAGAATGATACCAGTGGAACGTTAGGAACATGTGGTGATACGAATTTACGAGTACGAGTGTATAAAGCGCTTTCAATAGTTGCAGTCTTTGTGTAGACAATTTTACAAACCAAGCATTGATTTCCTCAGGGATGAAAGATTTTTGACTTTCTGCTTACAAATCTAATTCAATGCTGTATTCAAAGCCATCGAAATAATGTCATTTGCATTTTCGTGGTTTTTGCAATAGGGTATTCTGCATTATGGAAGTTACACATCGCAAAAAATAAGAAAGACATATTGGAATTGACAACATAATTTCAATCTTATCTACTCTCAACAGTGGGAAAATTCATCGCAATAAATCCAATTTAAATTGTTTGAATACTTTGTTCCGTTATCAGTCTACCGCTACTTTGTATTATTTTTAGTGCGTCACAGACTGAAAAAATTTAAGATCTTTCTTTAGTTGGTTTTCATAAAATCCTATTATCGATACACTCCGCCTATTGGGAATCTTTCTAAAACTTCACCTTTTGCGCATCATGTCGCAATACGAATAATGTATGCAAGCAAATACCATCCATCTGCTGTATCGCTTGTTTGAATTTATTGGTAATTCAATTATATAAGTCATAAATATTGATTTACAAAGAGTTTTACAAAGAACTTTTTTAAAATATTTTTGCCGGTCGCGAGCACTGAACTGGAAATATATTTATATATCTCTGTGGTCGCGAGTCAGTCTCATGAAAATACTTATTTTCTAGTTTCAACAGAAAGGGTAATCTGCATCACACATAATGAATCCAGTCAGTTCAATGGAAAGACTCTTGCGTCGAGTATTCAACGTTGAAAAAGTGCTATCGAATGATATACTGTTCAAATATTTCATTTTTCTCTGAAGTGGACTCATATATAACAATAGTGAGGAGTCAAACAATATCCCACATATATTATCTATACGTGATCTGTTTACATCCGCAGGTATGTCTTCAGTGGTCAAATGCGTAATAGACATAACGATAGTGAGACATAACGATAGTGAGGCAACCTCTCACATAAATTATCTACCGTACCTAAGCTGTGTACACTCGCAGGTATGTCTTCAGAAGTCCTAATGCGTCAAACAGTCAAACAACTGTCCAGACCAGACATCCTTCCCGCACAATGATGCCCGGAATTCGTAAATAGTGTTCTTGATTTTTAAAGTAAGTAAACTCGCGATTGTTTGATCAATTTTGGGTTTTATCCGACTGCGACCCGCGAGACATTCTCAAAAGTTATGACAACCCGTCAACCTCGCAACAACACAACACCCTGATATAGATCATGTCGTGTTTTAATTACCGCATTTCGATGCTACCGTTGTCAAATTTTATTAAACATCTCACGGAGCCCCGAAGAATCCACCGAAGATTTCGTGCGACCCGCAAAGCATTCAGTCGATGCAGTGTATATTTGGCGTGAAGTCAAAAACCTTCAGGGAATGTACAGAGAAAAACGGAAGCGCCAGTATTTTAAACACACAATTAATTAAATGAATAAAAATTATATTCAATCAATCATCATTTTATTCGTCAGCACAAAATAAACGTATTATAAGAAAAAAACATTTCAAACACAATATGAACTTAACTTAAGTTGTGTGACAGGAGTCGCGAGGGACCTCATAAGGTCTTCAGGCAGCGACACCTTAAAAGCTCGCTGATTCAGGTTAGTGAGCACAAAAAGTTAATGAAACACCAAAACACTTCAAAAATATTATAAGAAAAAAAGCAAAACAAAATATTAAAAAATATGTTTCATGAGTGGTTTGTAAAAGCAAAACATTACAGTTATGAGCATGTTTCTTAAAATCCACAACCAACGATGCAACTTAATGCACTGTATAAATTCATCAGATATATAGAAAGGAAAATAAATGTCAAATATAATACTGTATTAATTTCTCAAACGGGATCAGCCATTGTCATGATCATCGGCATGGCGTAAGCAAGCAATTAAAAATTTGATTCTCAGAAAGTCAGACTCCACGCACATCTATCTGATTTTCCCGTAGAACAGAGCGTGGATAGACAGAATCGAATGTTTGGTCACAAAAATAGGGCTTGGGGGTTAGTTGCAAAGAAAATCAGTAACGGTGCAGGTACCGGTAGTGGTTAATTATCAATTCAAAGAAAGGTAGTCACTAATGTACTTCATTTTTAGTTCATTTTAAAATTTTATATACAAACTTGTTGTTGTTCGTTCGCGATAGCAAATAGGTACGTCACCCCTGCGTTGGATGTTGTATTTATCTAAAAAGTGTTTTAACAATTATATATCCGTTTGTATTTTCATCGTTTCTTCGTCGTTTACACCTAGTATATAAAATGCGATGCTTTGGCTCAATTTCGTTGTTCATGTATCATGTTCATGTTTACTTCAAAGTTTTAAATCATTGGAACCAAGAAATTTGGAACAAAAATGACATTGAA